GTTTGAAGACACTTCGAATGTAGCCCTTCACCAGGTTCTATAAAAATCTGGCTCATGGCCACATGGTGGTTAGCAGATTACTACCGTCCCAGATCACTATCATCCCAGATCTCATGCATATGTAGATGAGTGTGCGACTGCTAATGACCACAAACCCCCATGCAAGATGCGAAGTTTAAGCAGAAAAAAGCACAGCCCTTGTCAGCGTCAATGTAAAAGCTTTGCAGGGCTTTGTGCTCGAATTAGTGAAACAGCTTATGAGAAGCTTTCTTGAGTCTTTCAAATATCCAAACAAATCCGCCAATATGAAGCCACTTTGACCTTCGCTGTGAATATGTATGCCGAAATTAGGCATCAGGCTATAAAGCGAAAGTTGCTCAAGAGTGATGCAAAACGGCCATCAAACTTTACAAATTCCGAGGATTGTAACATGCCTGCCCTGACTCCAATGTTTATTTGGTGACCGCTGCAAGATCGTTTGGAAAGCCATATAGTCTTGGATCTCTTCTGGAAATAGCGGAGAAATTGAAATTTTTTGGATGGATCTGACCTGATTGCCGCCGTGCTCATCTTAAGGGTGAGAGCAGCTGCCTCAAAGTTTCTTAAGGTGACTGTTGTTAACGGCAAATAAGAGGCAGTCTAGTTTTTGCTTTCTGGACAATACTAGCTGTTCTTTTCTCTAGTTGAAAGGAAAGAATTGATGAATCGTTGAGTTACCTGAATAGCAGTTCCCGATCGGTTCTGGAGGACAACAATCGACGAGCATATAAGCAGCGTAAGAGAATATTATCGGCCGAAGGTTTTGCGCTTTTGGCCTCATAGCGTACCGTGTCGTAGCGTCTTCTGCAGAGAATGTTTTCTTTAGTAAGGATATGGGCATACAATTATTTTATTTATTCGTTTATTTGAACGCTGCAGAAGGCAGTCGTGGGAAACAACAACAATGGCAACAACACATCAAGCTTTTCATATATACCCTAGCCATAACTCAACAATTCTTTCCTAGCTAGGCGCTTGAAAAGCACAAAAGTGGGAGTGACGAGTGCCACGTTTGGTTTAAGAGAAACAAATATAGAACCCGCACGACAGGTGAAGCAATTAAGCCTCACGTTAGTTCTTGGCGTTGCATATGAAATTTTCTCCAGCCCTCCTCTGGTTCTAGATCTCACCTTAACATAGAATTTGGATGCATCAACTTGGGCATACCGGTTAGCAACTTAAACACCATGCAAGCATCATAAACTTTTTCTACGAGAACATAAACTATGCAATTGGAAACTTCTATTTCTGGAATTCGGTTGAGGCACCCGTGCATAAGTAGCATCACCAACCCTAATAAATAGTTTACGAGTGAAGTTGTCCTGGATTTTCTCAATTAACTGGATATCCTTTTTCTTATAAGGGCAGAAGACAGACGTACCACATTCCGCGATGGGACGGATATACGTTTTATAAACTCTTAATAAAACATCTCTATCCCTAGTCGCTAAGCCCTTGAAGACTTGATATGTTCGAAAAGTTGCCTTTTTAACAACGGCCGCATAGTGATCAGAGAAACACAGCTTATTATCATAATGAAAACCAAGATCCTTAACTGAAGAGACTTCATCAAGGACATGATTGCCAAGACAGTAGGCTATTCCCAATGTTAGACACACCAATCCTCATATAAACAGTTTTTTCTGGAGCAAGGGGTAAATTCCACTGACTAGACCAATCAAAAATACAATCCAAAGCCATCTGAATCTTTATTGTGTCGTCGGTGTCTATTGATATTGATGGGCGTTAGGTTCCTTAAAAAAGTACCATATCCACCATATAGCACTGGCATCGCTGCACTAGGCTATCGTCGCACTAGGCCGCTAGTCCTCTGAACCAGCATATGCGAGAGAAAAAATTTGAGGAATACGGCAAACCCAAAAACGACTTCTCCAAATTCTTCAACCCCCATCTTCCTTCATTCTGTGCGCAAAGCTTCCAAAGATTCCTTAGCAAATGCATGAGGATCAGTGACCATGACGGTGGTTATGCTGTCAATCAGTTGCTTCCTAGAAGAGAAAAAAGGGGCAGGAATTACGCGACAATCCAATAGCTTCCTTGGGCCGCCCGCCCTAATCGCAACCGGAAAAACAACTCGCTCCTGTCGCAAGGCGACATCAGTATGCCTTCTTGAGGGTCGCGCTGATAAGGGATGGGTGAATCTGCCTCAATGGAGACCGGAAGTGGAATCCCTGGCCAGGCGGGAATAATTTTGCACTAGGTCTAATGCGAAGAGATTGAAGGGTCCCACAAAATGGTGGACTGTTGAACAGTGAGCGAAGGAATTGCTTGGAAAACTGTTGACTTCAGCGACAATTCACTGGCACCCATATCAGAAAGTTCTCTAAGGCCAGTGCCAGGATTTGCGAATATGGTGCCTAGTGAATCGCAGGGTAAGAGTGATGCACCAGCGGATCGAACTAACAAGGGAGGTCGTTCAGGGTGTGCCAAGCTTTTTCAAAATGGTTTCTTGCATGACATTGGGGCACATATGGGGACCACAGAAGCATGGTTCATTTTTCCTGAACGGCTCTCTGAATACCAGAAAAGGGGTCCCTAGTTCGATTCCTCGTGGTGACAAGTTTTTGCATTTCGTGTTGACGTTTCCAAATTCGCGCAAAATGGAGTTAGCATGAATAATTAGTTAATATATTATTCATGCTAACTCCATTTTGCGATTATAATAATAATAATATTACATTATAATAATAGTACCAATTTCATGATGTGAAAACGTCAGTAACCTCTTATCAAATAGACTTTGATTGAAAACCTGGTCCAAAACAGTCTGAGCTTGGGAACCGACCGCTTTTCTGGCTATGTCAAAATGGCTGTATCAAGAAATATCATCAGCCATTGTCTGTTGTTCCCAGTGCCTCCATATCATGCAAGAACGTTTTGAAAAAAAGCTTGGCACATCTTGAAAGACCTTCCTTGCAAGCATCGGCGGTTGAACGATGTACCCTGATTCGCAGTTACATCTGTATACGTATTTGACCTTACCACGGCTAGAGGGACTTGGTGTATGTACATTTCAGCATTCTCCTTACCCCTGACAAGGCGAATCTAGGACCGACAAAAGTTGGTTTACGAAGGGATTCAGTCCTGATCCCATCCGTGGAGCATGCTGTGTTACCCGCACCACTTTTAGTGCCCCACCTTCGCCCTATGACATGATATTAACAGTTTTCATCTCTGGCGTTAATGGTGAGGTCGTGAACGCTTCCATTCGGGAGCAGAGCCTTTTTTGAAGTATCTGACGATATAGCAGACGAGAACATTCGCCCAAAGACGCGTTAACTTGAGAAGAAAGCTTAACTTCTGCATTTCAAGACATTTTGCGGCACTTTAGCACTTTAGGAGATTGCGCAGCTTCACTTATTTCTATAAAAAATGGAATGGGCCCAGCATCTGGCTCCGAT